TTATTATATTATCATAATTATCATATACAATTTTTAAATCATAAATAATTTTAATTATTTAAAATTAAATTATTGTATAATTATTGTATAATAATTTAACTAAAATTTTTTATGATTTTTAGCATGTAAAAATTAAAAAAATAATCATTATCATTTATTATCTTTTATTTTATTACTATGTCTTTATTTTATTGTATCTGTATCGATGAAGAAAGTTATTAATAATATTTTTTAATAGTTAATAAAAAACAATTAATCAAAATACATATTTATTTACCTTTAGTTTAATTTTATTAATTTATAATTAATGATTTATAAATATCATTTGTAAAACATTTTAAAAATGAAAAGCAGATATATTCATAATTTTAAATAATTTGTACTACATTTTTTTCAAAATCTTTCCTTTTTAACAAAGAAAAAATAATAAAAAATAAATTGATAAATTGAACAAAATTGTAAAAAATAAATTGGAAAATTGAAAAAAAATTATAGCAAAAATATTTTTTTTTCATAATTTTCAATGAAGTAATAAGCTAAAAAATAAAAAATTTTATAAAAGATGAATTTTTCTAAATAATAGCAATTAATTACTTTTTCTCATTTTTTGGAAATATAAAAATAAAAAGATAACTGTTTAATTTTATAATGCTATCATAATTTCCTTTGCAAAGGATAATACTGTAATATATTAATATATAAAATTTTAATTAATTAATAAAAAAAATAAAAATATTATATATATGTAATAGTATTATTATACTATTACTACTATTATAATATTATATATATAGTATATAGTATTATATATAGTATAGTACTACTCTTATTATACTATTATTACTATTATTAAATTACTATATTATATTATACAATATAAATATAGTATAAATAAAAAATGCAAAATGAAAAATATTATATTCCTTATACTATCGTACGTATTATCGTATATTTTAATTTATCATAATAATACTATGACAAAAACAAATTTCATAAAATATTTTATAAAATCTCAGGAAAATATAGAAATCCGAAATTAATAATTTTCAATAATAGAGACAATAGAGATAGCAAATAGCATACATCGAATGAAACACGATATTAATGATAAATATCAATGTTTTTATTACAAATATTTGGATTTATCGATATTTTTCTTATGAATTTCAATGAATTATTTCAATAACATATAATTTCATTATATTTTTTTTTTTTAATATAAAAATATATAATTTTTTTTATTCAGAAATTTTAAGATTTTAAGATTTAGGAAAGAATAAAATCTTTATTTTCAAATATGTGTATATTACGCTTAAAAATATTTATTATTTATGTTCACATCAGAAAAATTGTTTTTAAAAACAGACTTACTTAATATTAATAAAAAAATGATTAAATAAAATGATTATGTTCGTCTAAATTAATATTAATTCAATTAATATTTTTAAATTGAATAAAATATTTCAAGAAAAAAATTTTTATAAAAATTTAATTGAAATTTCTAGAAACTTTTTATTTTTCAATTAAAAAAAAAATCAACATTACAAAGATCAATATTTTCACGTTTTTTTATCACTTTTTTTTGATAAATTATCAAATCATCAAGGATCGAATTTGGACAGTGTTGCCAACTTATAACTAAATTTTAATATAAGAAAAATAATTATCAGTTATTATTAGTGATAGGGAATTTAATTAAAAATAATAAATAAATACTTTAAAAGTTTTATTTATCACGAAATAAAAAATCAATAATGAGATACTTAATATTTAATAATTTTCAACTTATATTTGTTTTATTTTTAAAAATTATTATTATATATTAATAATTTTATATTATAAGATATTTAAAACATTTATTATAAAATATTATTTGGATTTCCTTGAATTTTGACTAATTAATTACAATTAAATAAAAAAGTTTATTGTATGAAAAATAAAAAAATTCAAAAAAAGAATATATATATTTTTGAAAATGTATATATATATATATATTTATAGTTATATTTTATAAAAAATTATCATTTAAAAAAAATTTTTTTGGATTGAGTTTTTTTAAATTTAATTAAGATTCCTGCTTTGGGAAAAAAATGTTTTTCAAGAAATATTATTTCAAAAAAAATAATAATAATCAAAAAATAATAAGGATAAACAATTTTTCTGTTTCTTCGAAAGTCAAAAAATTGTCTGCTTTTATTATAACTTTTTAAAAATATATTGTCAAAATACTATAATAGAAGTTGAAATGTTGATAGTTATTAAAAATCTTATTTTATTCGTAACTTACTTTTTAAACTTCTCCTATATATCAAATTGTTTCACTTTTATAAAAATTTAATGAATAACAACAATAATGTAGTCAATTTTGTTTTCTTTGTATATCGTTGCAGTTAAAGTACATCTAGATATTGGTTCGCTTTCTTCTCTACAAAACTTTTGTTTCTGTATATTCCTTATTATTATTTTTATTCTGTATGTTTTCCTTTACTCAGATATTGTATATCTACTTAGATATTTTTACAAAGAAAATAATTTTGATAAAAAATCCATTTAAAATTGGATAAAATAGCTTAACCTTATCTGAGAAATAGATTCTTTTTTTTTGATTGTTCTGACTAGTTAGTTTTCCAGTTACTTTTTTTGAAAATAGCTAGTTATTTTTATAGTTATTATAGTTAGTTTATTATAGTTATTATTTATTATAGTTATTATTATAGTTATTTATTATAGTTAGTTTATTTTTTTTTTCATCATAATCGTTGCAATTAATCCAAATAAAATATAAGTTTTTAAAATTTTTTTTTAATATATATATTTTTTTTTTTAAATATATTCCTTAACGAAAAATTATCTTAATTTAAAATGCTGATGTTTTTTATTTTATTATTAATGTAATTGTAGTTAAAATTCTCTTATAAAATTTGAGTTTTCCTAGAATTTGCTAAAGTATTTATCTAATTATAAATATAAATAAAAAAAATTCAATTATCAATATTCAGATAGTTTAATTAAAATAGTTTATCTAAAATTGAAAAAAATTATTAATGATAAAAATCATAATCGAATAATTATTATTTTTTTATGTTTTTTATTTTATTGTATATATAAATATTATATTTATGAAAGATATTATTGCTGTCGTTACTAATGGTTAAAATTTGAATATTGTTGCACCCATAATCCTGATTTATGCATAAAAAATTCATTTGTGATAATTTATTTCATGAATTAAAAATAAAATTAATGTTTATAAATGTTTACATTTTGCTTAATGTAAAAATAATTTTGTTATTTGTATTTTTCGATAATTCTATGTTTTATTTCAATTCTACATAATTCTACATTGATTAAATTTCAGTTTATGATTCAGTAATTTTCTAAATTTATGTAACCTTTTTTAATAATATTTATATATATCAAATCAGGAGAATTAAAAATCAAACAATAAGAATTTGTTTCGTCTATTTTTCTTTTTTGACGGACATTTGAAACTTAACGTACATAATGACGGAGAAAGAAGGAAATGAATATGTTATAACTGAAATTATTGGTAAATCTGAAAAAATGGGAGAAAATTTAACAAACGAAGATGCATCTGCCAGTTTTGAAACAATTCATTCAGAAACACCATTAGTTCGAAATGGAGTTCAAATTACTTCTAAGGACAAAGCAAAAAGTAAAAGATTTCTTGTTTGCTAAAGACATAATAATAATTGAATATTAATAAGCATAATACAAAACAATTATTTTATTAGTATTTAATTTTTTAGTTGATATTTTGTTAAAAGCAACTGGCAATGCACCAATAATGAAACAAAAAAAGTGGTCTGTCAGTCAAGATTATTGTATTGGTCGTATTTCTGATTTTATTAGAAGATATCTTAAATTAGATTCAAATGAAAAATTGGTAAGTGTAAAATAAAAATTATATTCATCATATATATGTGTAGATATATATATATATATATTTTCTCTTTTCTTTATTAGTTTCTATATGTAAATCAAACATTTGCTCCTGCACCAGATCAAGCACTGAAAAATTTATACGATTGCTATGGTGCAGATGGAAAATTAATACTACATTATTGTAAAAGCCAAGCTTGGGGTTAAAATTATGCTTATATAATAATTTTACGAATTATTACATAAATATATTATATATATATTATATATGTTTAAGTTTAAAAAATTTTATTATTGTATAAACATTATTTGATAAGTATTTAATGAATTTTCTAATTGCATTGAATAATATAAATTTTATCATAATAAATTTCATAATCATAAGCATTGTAAAGTAATATAGAAATATTATAATATATCAATTAAATGAAAATATTATTATATTTAAAGAAAATGATTTTTTATGTATTTTTTTTTATTTTTTAAATCATTGTAAATTTGTCGTCATTGTAAATGATATTATATAGAATATAGTAAAATACATAAAAATATAATTTTTCAATTTAAAGTTTTGTTTTTTAAACAAAAAATTATTTTTTAAACATAAAATATAATTTTATTAATATTTTTATATTCATTAAAATGTTATCCTATTCTAAATGAATTTAGAAATTATAGAAAGAATAAAAATAAATTTATTTTTGAAATTTAATATTGAAATAAATTTTTTGCTATAAAGTGATTTCAAAATTTCAAAATATCTATTTTCGATATTGGAAATAATATTTTGAAAATCTAGAAATTCAATATAAAACTTGTTAAATATTCATTATAGTAGGCTATTGAAATATATATTTAAATTAAACAATTTTATATTATTAAATATATTTTTGATTTGATTAGATTTATTTTCTTTTTTTAAATCATACAACATCATTATTTAATTGTATTATAAATATTTGTTAATCTATAAATAATGTAAAATTCATAATAATTAAAACTTTTATTAAAGTTTTAAAAAAATGCTATTAAGTTAGATTAAGAGTATGCTATTAAGTTAGATTAAAAGTAACAATATCAGATTTGTTTTGTATAAAAACTATAGTAAAAAAATAATATAAATTTTACAACAACAGCCTTCTATTACATTCTTTCAAATTTACAATTTTTAATTTTATTCTTTATTTTTAGTAATTTTAGTAATTTAATGTCTTATTCTGTTAATAAGTTATATTTTGCCATTTTAGATGTATATAGTAATATAACTGTATAATTCTGTATAACTGTATAAGAAGGATTTGAAAATGTAGATATTTTTCGAATTGTTTTTGTATGAATTTTATTTATTAATTATTTATCTAATATATATTAATAATAATATATAATAAGTATTATAAAAGTTATTTACTTTTACAAATATTAAATGTTAATTCTTTAATATAACAGTTGTATATAATGTTGATATTTTTTAAAAATTATGACTTCTCATGCTTTGCCTTTTTTCCTAGCAAAAATAAAAAAATACAACATACAAAATAATATTATAAATATATAATATGATAGATAATATAGTCACAAAAATAGCAAAAAAAGTAATCTTTGAGATATATTTTATAGAGTTCTAAACAAATCCATTTATATTATGCATATCATTCACAAATAGATATAAAACATCAATTGCAAAAATATAAATTTTCATGATATTCTATTATTAGTGCTCTAGATTTTTTAAACCATAATTATATAAAATATGTTTAATAGTGATAAAATGATGTAAAGATAATTAGAAACAAAAATATATTTTATACAAAATAAATTGAAATTTTAGGTAAAAATTTTTTTGTTTTATATTACGATATTTCTTTTTTTTTTTTATGATATATTATATATATTTTTATTTCAAAAATATTATTTTATTATTGCAAATTTAATGAAATTTATTGAATATTAAATTAAATTATAATAATATTACAATATTTAATAAAAAATTATCATAAAAATTTAATTCATATCAAAAAAAAAAATAATATAAATATTATTTTCAGATCATTATGCATAATATTGAATTCATCATCTTGAATTTTTTATTTTTTAGATTCATTATAAGTATTTGATAAATTGTAGTTCTGAAAAATCTCAGTGGCTAATTGACAAAAAAGAGAGGCTAGATCTTAAAGTTGGAGCTTAAATATAAAATTTTAACTTGAGGTATTTATTAATTTCCGAGATATTTTTAATAATATATATTGAATTCTGATTATATGGACATTATTAATACCACTGTCTTTACTATTAAGTATTTAATAACTAATAATCTTGATAATTTATAAAATCCTATATAAAAGCTTCAATTGTTTTTATGAAAAATCATAAATATTGACATCTTTCTCACAGAAGCTGCTTTTAAATTTTAATCTAACTTAATAGCATTATTTTTATTCAAAATCTGTCCAAAATAATAATATTTATATATTAAATGCTTTTACTTGCAAATTCGTTTTTTTTCTATTTCCATTTGTATATTATTTGACATTAATAAATCAAATTTGAGAATTTTTTGATCAAATTTTTAATGGATTATATATAAATTATCTTATAAAGTCTGATATAGCTAAACTTTATTGGTTATTAATTCAATATTCGACAATTAAAATATCAGAAGATTATTATATTAATAATATCTGGATTTAAAAAATTTGATGTATTAATAATCTTTTAATATATGCTTTCAATATATAATATCAAAAATTTTTTATTAATGTCTCAGAAAAATAATAAATATCTGAAAAATTAAAATTTTAAATATAATGTTCATCTCTCCAAATTTTTTATTGATCAATGATCGAAATCTTTCGAAATTATAACTACTTTTTGATTTTAATGATCTATTGATTGAATTTTTGAATTTTAATTACTTTTTTGTCATTTTTTTCGTAATTTATTGTGTGTCGTTTTTAAGAAAATTATAATATATACATATATATATATTTCTATATAACACACACACACACACACAAGTAAAAAATTAAAAAAATTATCATTTTCAATTTATTTTTATTATTATGGAAAATAATTATTTCTATCTAATTATATTTCGTGTACAGTTATACCTTATAAAAACTTTAAAGAATTGGAAAGAAGATTATAAAGAATAAATATTTAAAAGAAAAACATTAATTTATTTTGAAAAATAATAAATTAAAAAATAATGATTTTGAAAAGAAGTTTCATGCAAAAAATGTAAATTTATTAAATATTAAATATTATTATTAAATAAATATTAATTAAATATTATTATATTTTATTTTTTGGAAAATTATATTGACAAAAATAGATTTTAGCTGAAAATATCATTTTGTATACATTTTGTATAATAGTAAATTAAAAAATAATGATTTTGAAAAGAAGTTTCATGCAAAAAAAGTTTCATATAAATTTAATTTATTAATTTTGAAAAATTATATTGACAAAAATAGATTTTAGTTGAAAAT